TAGGATCTCTAAAATTTCTACAAAATCTAGAATATTCAGAATTCCCTGGATTTTTTAGATTCTCTCGCATTTTTCCGAATTTTTTAGAATTTTCTGAAATCAACTTCGATTTTTTTTTTAATGAAAATGAAAAATCCAAGAACCCAAAATTGAAAAATTGAATAGATAATAATCGAAAAACCAAAAAATGTAAAATTTTCGAACCGAAAAATTAAAAAATACAATAATTGAAAAATCGGAAAATAGAACAATAAAAAATTTTGATATGTAAAAAATCGAAATATCTGAAATTAAAAAAATCGAAAAATTTAAAAATTGGCAATTCCAGAAAAGTAAAAACCAAAAAGAAAAATGTGAAATTTGAAAAATCAAAAAATCTAATATTTAATAAATGAATAATTGGAAAATTTAGAAATAACATTGCGAAATGTCAAAAAATCGGAAAAATCGAAAAATTGATAAGCCGAAAAATAGAAAAATCCAAAATTTAAAAAACCTGAAAAATTGAAAAACAGAAAAAGTGTTGAATCAAAAATTGACAAAACAAAACATCGAAAAATTGAAAGTTCAAAAATTGAAACATCGAAAAATTAAAAGCAAAAAATTAAAAAAACGAAAAAATAAAAATCGAAAAAATGAAAATTTGAGAAAAGAAAAACCAAAAAGAAAAATGTAAAAAAGGATGTCATTTGCCAAAGTCAGTCTTATCTTAGCAATCACTAGCCCCGCCCACCCGCCCTCTCTTTTCTTAGAGTTTATATCATTTGTCAAAATCAATCTTATCTTATCTCGTATTCTCTCGGAATCTCCGAGTCTTTCGGATTCCTTCCAATTCTCACTCCTAAATTTTCTAGAATTCCCTAGAAGTTTCGTTTTTTGGGTTTTTGATTTCTGAATTTTCTAGAATATCTATATTTCCCAAACGTTCTAAATTTCCAAGTTTTCAGATTTTCTAGAATGTTTGAAAAATTTCAAGAAATTCCGAATTTTCAATATATCCAGATTTCATAGGCTTTCTAGACAATCAAATTTATCAGAAATTTTACGGTTAAAAAAAAATCTTTAGAATTCTAGCACTTTTAGAATCTTTAGAATTTTTAGTTAACTATAGAATTTCAGAAATTCTAAAATTCGACCGAATTTGTGGAAAGATTCCAAATGTTGTGGAAGTCCCAAATATTCTAACCCTTTTAAAGGTTTTAAGGCTTTCAAGGATGCCAAAAACTCTCTCTTTCGGATTCTTCTAGAATGTCTCGGATTTTCTCGAATTCTTTTAGATTGTCTAAGATTTTTTGCTTGTGATCACGGATTTTTTCGTGTTCTCTCCGATTCTTTTAAATTCTCTCGAAAATTTCCGAATTCTTACGAATTCTGTCGGATTCTATCTGTTTTTCTGGAATTATTTTCAAATTCTCTTCAAAAAAATATCAGAGAATGTGAAGAAAATCCGAGAAAATACGAAAAAATTTGACAGAAAATAAGAGAATTCAAGGGAAGAATTCAAGGAAATCCAAACAGAATAAAATGGATCAAAAGGGTCAAAAATTATCCAAAAAATTCGAAAGAACCTGAGGGACTCCCAGAGAATCCGAAAAAACTATAAAATCCGAAAAAATCCGAGACTCCGCAAGAGATTCAAGTGAATACAAAAACAATCGGAAAATATGTATACAATTCTCTCAAAAATCCGAAAGGATCCAGGAGATTCCGAATATGAATAATTCCGGAACAGTTCGGGAAAATATGAGAGAATACAAAAAATCCGAGAGAATCTAAGAAAATTCAAGAAAATCTGCGAGAATCCAAAAGAATACAAGAGAGTCCGAAAAAAATCCGATTGGATCTAAGATAATCCAACCAAATTCCGAAAGTATCCGAAAGAAATCGAGAAAATCCGCAAAAATTCGAAAAAATATGGAAGAAGACGAAGAAAACCGAAAAAATACCAAAAAATCACAGCGATTCAGGAGAATCCGGGAGAATACAAAAGAATCCAAAAATATCCAAGATTTGGAAGAATACGAGAGAATCGACCAAATTTCAAGAGGATCCGAAAAATCCGAAAGAATTCGAATAAGTTCTGGGAAAATCCGACAGAATCCGAAAAAGTATCAAAAAATACGAAAAAAAAACGAGAGAACACGAACAATAGAAGAAAATCCAAAAAACTCTGAGAGAATTCAAAAATCGCAAAGAATTCTTTTGCATTCTTTTGAATTTTTCCGAATTCTTTCGGATTTTTGCGCATTGTCTCGAATTCTCTCGGGTTTTTCGTATTCGTTCAAAGTCTCTCGTAATCTTGTGAATTTTCTCGAATGCACTTTTGGAATCTTCAGAATCCTAAGGGTTTTTAAGATCTTTAGAATGTTTGGGTCTTTAGGACCTTGAAGAATATGAAATTTTGGTATTCTTGGAATACTTGTAATAAGTACTTTGAATCCTTGGAATCTTTAGAAGTTTTAGCATCTCGAGAATCTCTAGAATCTCTAAAATTTCTACAAAATCTAGAATCTTTAGAATTCCCTGGATTTTTTAGATTTTCTTGCATTCTTCGGAATTTTTTAGAATCCTCTGAAATCGATTTCTATTTTTTTTTTAATGAAAATGAAAAATCCAAGAATCCAACCGAAAAAATGTAACATTTTCGAACTGAAAAATTAAAAAATACAGTAGTTGAAAAATTGGAAAATAGAACAATAAAAGATTTTGATATGTAAAAAATCGAAGCATTGAAAAATCGAAATATCTGAAATTCAAAAAATCGAAAAATTTACAAATTGACAATTCCAGAAAAGGAAAAACCGAAAAAGAAAAATGTGAAATTTGAAAAATCGAAAAATTGATAAGCCGAAAATTAGAAAAATCCAAAATTTAAAAAATCTGAAAAATTGAAAAGTAGAAAAAGTGTTGAATCAAAAATTGACAAAACAAAACATCGAAAAATTGAAAGTTCGTAAATTGAAACTTCGAAAAATTAAAAGCAAAAAATTGAAAAAACGAAAATAAAAATCGAAAAAAAATAAATTTGAGAAAAGAAAAACCGAAAAAGAAAAATGTAAAAAGATGTCATTTGCTAAAGTCAGTCTTATCTTAGCAAATACTAGCCCCGCCCACCCACCCCTTGTTTTCTTAGCCAGTATCTCATTTGCCAAAGTCAGTGTTATCTTAGCAGATACTAGCCCCGCCCACCCGCCCCCTCTTTTCTTAGAGAATATATCATTTGCCAAAATCAGTCTTATCTTGTCTCGTACTCTTTCGGAATCTCCAAGTCTTTCGGATTCCTTCCAATTCTCACTCCTAAATTTTCTAGAATTCCCTAGAAGTTTTGTTTTTAGGATTTTTTTGACTTCTGAATTTTCTAGAATATCTATATTTCCAAATGTTCTACATTTCCAAGTTTTCAGCTTTTCTAGAATGTTTGAAAAATTTCAAGAAATTCCGAATTTTCCCTATATCCAGATTTCATAGGCTTTCTAGACAATCAAATTTATCAGAAATTTTACGGTTTAAAAAAAATCTTTAGAATCCTAGCACTTTTAGAATCTTTAGAATTTTTAGTTAATTCTAGAAATTTCAGAAATTCTAAAATTCTGATCGAACTTGTGGAAAGATTTCAGAGATTTCAAAAAATTAAAAAAACCAGAGAAGCCGGCAATTTAAAAATTCTAAAAGGATTTCAGGGATTCCAAAAATTCCGAAGATTCCACAGATTCCAAATGTTTAAAAATTGGAAAGAGGATAAAAAGAGTAAAGATCTAAAAATGTTTAAAATTCTAGAGATACTGAAGCATCTAAAAATAATGAAAATCTGAAAGCTCTAAAGGTTATAGAAATTCTAGTGATTCTAGATTCTAGAGATTCTAAAGATTCCAAAGTGGTTTGAAAGATTAAAAAAGTATAAAAGCTTTCACGGATTACATACACTAGAAACTGCGAATTGTAAAGACACTTAAGATTCTAAATAAACTAAAGTTCTAATGTTCCAAATATAAAAAGGATCCAACAAAATCTTAAAAATTTTAAAAAACCTGGGGGTAATAATGATCCTAGAAATTGCAGAAATTTTAGGCTTTATAAAACTCCTAGTAATTCCCAAAGTGTTCAAAATTTTCATAGATTGGAAAGGCTCTAAAGGGTCTAAAGACTCTAAGGACTCTAAGGGGTCAAAAGCTAAAATTCTGTTTCGAATACTTGAAAGATTCTAAAGGTTCTAGAGAAATTCCAAAAGGTCAAAGATTCTAAAACTTGTAAAAATCGCGTGAACTCTTAAAATACCAAAGATTTTAAAAATTCCAAAGACTTTAAAGAAAACAAAAATCTTAAAGACCTAAAAATCGTAAAGATCGTTAAAATGAAATTTAATTTTTATAAATCATAAAAGCACTGAAGGCTTTGAACACCCTAATTATTATTTAATAAATCTTGGAGACTGTATCGATTCCAGAGATTTCAAAAATTCCAACGATTTAGACTCTTGAGATCTATAAATTTTAGAAAATCTGGAAAAATTTAGAAAGTGTGGGAAAAATGTGGTAGGCCTAGAAATCTTGAAAATATTGGAAAATGTTGAATTTCGACATTTTGGTAAAACTGGAGCCTGATAATTTTAGAAATTTTAGAAAATGTGGAGTAATTTCGACTAACACCAAAAAAATCCTGATTACACAAACTAGAAAGCTCAAAGGTCGGCTCGTGATCGACGTCTCCCAGCTTCCACTTCGCCACGAAACGCCCAGACAGCCTAATCAAAGTGAACGTATCGTGTAACAAGTGCCATTGCCTCCAGCTCTCAAACACACTTGGCAAAGAACTCCTAACCTTTGCTAGATCCTTGACAGAGACACCTGATCCCATTCATTCACCCGCGTTCCATTATTCATGGGTCGCATCGATTTCGGCGGTTTCGCGGATTTTGCAACGCGGAGGAATGCTAATGAGCTGACACTGGCATTGAAGAGCGTTCGACGTATTATAAACGTCGTTTTTTAGATTCGACTCACCTGTAGACGAACGGCCCGATCTCCTGCAGCCTGGGTTTTTCGCCTAGGTTGAGGAAGCTATCGGGGTTCGTCACGTTGAATATATAGACTTTGGTGAGTCGGAGGACGCCGGGCTTCTGCCAGTACTGGAAGCTGAGGGAGCCGTTCCAGAGTCGGAGGTTCTGGAAGAAAGTGAGTGGGTGAATGGGGATTTGAGAAATTTTTTTGTTGGTACCTTTAAGATGAGGTAGTCTACCCATGGGATGGATGATAAGATAATGCCCATTGCTAGAGTAAAGACGCCGATTAAGAGGACAGCTAGTCGACCTGCAAAACAAAAACATATTTAAATGGGGCGTTTTCTTGAATTTTCAAAAATTTTTATTTTTCACTCTTTTTTTGTTTTTAATTTTGAAAATGCCAAATTCAGGGACTTTTAGGTTGTTATAATTCCTTTTCCGAAATTTTCAAAGTTCATTTTAGGGCTTATTTAGGAAAGCTTTAAAAATTTTTAGATTTTGTGAAATTTTGGAATTTTTTTTAAAGACTGTTTAGAATTCCGAAATTTTATAGAATTCTTTAGAATGTTTGTTTTTTGGGGTTTTCTAGAATGTTTGAAATTTCAAGAAACTCAGATTATTTTCAGGTTTTCTAGGTTTTCTAGACTTTCCAGAAATTTTTAGAATCTTTAGAACATGTAGAATCAGGATGTAGGATTCATTTGGATTCTCTCGAATTTTTTCTGATTTTTCCAGATTCTTTCGCATTTTTCCGGATTCTCTTGGATCGTCTCGTTTTTTTTTTCAAATTCTATTGTATTTTTATGGATTCTTTCGTATTCTGTTCGATTTTCTCTGAATATCTCTAATTCTCCGGGATTCTCACAAATTCTTTTGGATTTTTTCACATTTTTCGAGTTTTTCTGGAATTCTCCGATTTTTTTGCATTTCCCCGACTTCTTATGAATTTTTTCGGATATTTTTTGGATTATCTCGTATTTTTCAGATTTTGTCAGAATCTCTGGGGTATATCGGAGTCTCCGGGAGTTTTTCGGATTTTTCCGGATTCTTTTGGATTGTCTCGGATATATTTTTTTATCTATTTAGTATTCTTCTCTTCCCTCGGATTTTTTTTCTTTCCGGATTTTTTTGGGTTCTTTCTAATTCTCTCGCATTTTTTCAAATTCTTCCGGATTCTCTCGACTGCTCTCGATTTTTCGTACTCTTTCAGATTTTGTCAGATTCTCTCGGAGTATATCGAAGATTTTCGGATTTTTCCGGATTCTTTTGGATTGTCTCGGATATATTTTTTTATCCACTTAGTATTCTTTCAGGTTATTCCCGATTCTTCCGGATCCCCTCGGATTTTTTTCGAATTCTCTTTGATTCTTTTGTGTTTTCCGGATTTTGTCGGATTTTCTCAGTCTCTCGAATATTTTTTAGATTCTTTCTTGTTATCTTGGATTCTTTTGGATTTTTCCGGATTCTGTCAATTTTTTTGTATACTCTCATATTTTTCCGGAGTCTTTCGAATTTTTTTGAATTTTTCCGGATTCTCTTTGATGCTTTCTAATTCTCTCGCATTCTTTCAAATTCTTCCGGATCCTCTCGACTGCTCTCGAGTTCTTTCGTATTCGTTCAGATTTTGTCGAGTTTTCTCGGAGCATATCGGAGATTTTTCCGCATTCTTTCGGATTCTCTCGAATTTTCACAAATTCTCTCGGATATTTTTCGGATTATCAGGCATTCTTTCGGATTTTTTCACATTCTTTCGGTTTTTCTCGAATTTTCTCTGTCTTTTGGGTTTTCTGGACTCTGTCGAATTCTCCCGGAGTCTCTTGAAAATTTGCGGATTTTTCAAAATTCGCTCAAATTCTCTAGTATATTTTTCGGATTACTTCGCATTTTCTCGGAAGTTTTTCGAATTCTTTCGTAGTATCTTGGATTCTTTTCGATTTTTCCAGATTCTTCTGGATTCTCTCTGATTTTCTCTAATTCTATTCAATTCATCCGGATTTTCTTGTATTCTCTCGGATTCTTTCAAATTTTCTCTGATTTTTTTGGGATTCTCTGAAATTCTTCCGGATTGTCTAGGTATCTCTGAGATATTTTTCAGACTGATTCATATTCTTGCGGGTTTTTTCGGTTTCCGTCGTATTCTTTCGGATTCTTTTCGATTTTTCAGAATTTGCTCGAATTCTGTGTGATATTCTTCATTTTAACTCGGATTCTATTGGATTTTCCGGATTCTCTAAAACTTTTTTCGAATTCTTTGGTATTCTTTTGTATTATTTCTTATTCTGTCGGATTTTCCCGCATCCTTTCAAATTTTTCGTAGTATCTGGTATTTTTTCGGATTCTATCGTATTCTGTGCGATTTTTTCTGATTGTCCCTAATTCTCTCGGATATTTTTCGGATTATCACACATTCTTTTGGATTTTTTCAAAAAATTCAAGTTTTTCTCGAATTCTATGATTTTTTCAAGATTCGTCCGAATTCGGGATATTTTTGGGATTATCTCGCATTCTCTCGATTTTTTTTTGAGATTCTTTCTTATTATCATGCATGCATTCTTTTCGGATTTTTCCGGATTCTTTTGTATTGTCTCGGATATATTTTTTTATCGACTTAATATTCTTTCAGGTTATTCCGGATTCTTCCGGATCCCCTCGGATTTTTTTCGAATTCCCTTTGATTCTTTTGTGTTTTCCGGATTTTGTCGGATTCTCTCAGGTCTCTTGAATTTTTTTCAGATTCTTTCTTGTTATCTTGGATCCTTTTGGATTTTCCCGGATTCCGTAAATTTTTTGGATACTCTCATATTTTCCGGAGTCTTTCGAATTTTTTTCAATTTTGCCGGATTCTCTTTGGTGCTTTCTAATTCTCTCCCATTCTTTCAAATTCTTCCGGATTCTCTCGGATTTTTTTCAAATTCTATGGTATTCTTTTGTATTATCTCTTATTCTCTCGGATTTTCACAAATTCTCTCGGATATTTTTCGGATTATCAGGCATTCTTTCGGATTTTTTCACATTCTTTCGGTTTTCTTGAATTCTCTCTGTCTTTTGGGTTTTCTGGACTCTGTTGAATTCTCCCGGAGTCTCTTGAAAATTTTCGGATTCTTCAAAATTCGCTCAAATTCTCTCTTTTCGGATTACTTCGCATTTTCTCGGAAGTTTTTCGAATTCTTTCGTATTATCTTGGATTCTTTTCGATTCTTTTCCAGATTCTTCTGGATTCTCTCTGCTTCTCTGTAATTCTATTCAATTCATCCGCATTTTCTTGTATTCTCTCGGATTCTTTCTAATTCTTTCAAATTTTCTCGAATTCCGTCGTATTCTTTCGGATTCTTTTCGATTTTTCAGAATTTGCTCGAATTCTGTGTGATATTCTTCATATTATCTCGGATTCTGTTGGATTTTTTGGTTTCTCTCTAGTTTTTTTTTTATTCTCTCATAATCTCCCGGAGTGATTCACATTTTTCCGGATTCTTCCGGATTCTCTACGATTCTTTCTAATTCACCCGGATTCGTTCAGATTTTTCCGGATTCTTTTGGATTGTCTGGGATATTTTTGGATTATCTCGTATTCCTTCGGTTATTCCAGATTCTCTTGGATTCTTTCGGATTTCTTCAAATTCCTCGTAAACTATCGTATTTTTTCGGATTCTTTCGTATTCTGTCCGATTTTCTCTGATTCTCTCTTATTCTCTCGGATTTTCACAAATTCTCTTTGCATATTGTTCTTGGGGTTTTTGAGTTATCTTGGATTCTCCCAGGTTTTTCCGAATTCTCTCATATTCTCTGGAAATCTATTGGGTTTTCCGGACTCTGTCGATTCTCTCGGAGTATCTTGAAGTCTTTCTTTCGGATTATTCTGGATTCTCTGTGATTCTCTCGGCTATTTTTCGGATTATCTTTTATTCTTTCGGATTCTTTGGAATGTTTTTGAAATATTCCATGATTTTTTGAGACTGTTTCAAATTCTTACGAGTTCTTTTTTAGCCCCCTCGACTCGGATTCTGCCGAATTTTCGGATATTTTTCGGATTATTTTGTATTCTCTTGGATTCTCTCACATTCTTCCCAATTTTCTAGAAGTATCTGTGATTTATTTCGGATTTTCCCTTATTGTCCTCGATTCTTTCGGATATTTTTCAGATTATCTTATATTCTTGAAATTCTCTCACATTCTTCCGAATTTTATGGAATTCAATGGAATATATTTTGTATTGTATTCTCTCCGAATTCTCTTGAACTTTTGCTTTTTGAAATTTTTAGGATGTAAGGTTCCCAAGTTTTTAGCTTTTCTAGAGGTTTGAAATTTCAAGAAATTCAGAATTTTTAATACTTTCAGATTTTATAGATTTTCCATTTTTAGGGTTTAAAAAAATCTTTAGAATTTTAGTACTTTTAGAATGTTTAGAATGTTTAGGGTTTTTAAAATCTTTAGAATCTTTGGGATCTTTAGAAACTTGAAATATTGGAATTCTTGCAATACACTAATCCTTTCAATCTTTAGAACCTTTAGTATCTTTAGAAACTTTAGAATCTTTGCGATCTTTGGGATCAATGGAATCCTTTGTATCTTTAGGGTCTTTAGGGTCTTTCGAATCTTTCGGATCTTTAGAATCTATAGGATCTCTAGGATCTCTATAATATCTAAAATCTCTAGAATCTCTAGAAACTCTAGGATCTCTAGGATCTCTAGGATCTCTAGGACCTCTAGGATCTCTAGGAACTCTAAGACCTCTAAGTCCTCTAGGATCTCTAAGACCTCTAGGATCTCTAGAATCTCTAGGATCTTTAGAATTTCTAGAAACTCTAGAATCTCTAGAGATTCTAGAAACTCTAGAATCTCTAGAGATTCTAGAAACTCTAGAATCTCTAGAATCTTAATATCTTTAGAACCGCTGGAATCGCACGACTGTAGAATTTGTACAATTTCGGGAATCACTGGACTCTCTAAAATCTCTAGAATTTATAGAATTACTAGAACATCTGAAGTCTTTATAATATCTGTAAATGAAAAAATGTATGCAGTTTCTTGAATCTCTGGAATCTTTGTAATTTTTTAAACTTTTGTGGGGTCTTTAAGGTCTCAAAAGTCTCTTTGGAATCTGGAGAATTTCCAAAATCTCTGGATTTACTGAAGTCTTCGAAATCTTCGTAAAACTTGCAATTCTTGGTGGCTTTAGAATTTGTGGAATCTGTGAAATTTCGAGAATTTTTCAAATTTTAACTCACCAGATTTTTTTTCAATAATAATTGGGAACTGCTGGAATCTTTGGAATTCTCGTAGTCCTTTGTGACGGTTTTAATCTTTGAA